AAAACTGTTCATTTCTGTTTTGAGAAATAGTATTGTACCCTTCGTGTCTAACTTTTGTCTTTTTTTTACCTTTGCTGTTATAATACCAAAAGTGATTTTTATATTTGTGTTGGTGCACTTGCATCAATTGCACAGCCTCACTTTTATCTTTTCTTCCCTCTGTTCTTTTAGGGTGAAGGGGGTGGTCTTGAATGTGAGTCACTTTGAAATTTGTATTCTCCCACATCATTGGGAAATTTTTTTCTATTATACTGAAATGTCATAGTAAACTTTAAAAAGTGTGAGTCTTCACCAGAGTAAACACCATTCAGCAAATTAAACCCAAGAAATAAACTTAAATGTTAAGATGCTAGTGACAAACTGTATCTAGTCTTATAGTAAACATTAATAGCCTGCATTAACTATAGGAAAATATTTTTAAATGTTCATGTGACTTAATTGTATTTTCCCACATTGACATTAAAAGTTTTAAAACACCCAAAAGTGATGTGCTTTGTATTAATATTTAAGAGTAAAATCAGTATCTGCATGTATTGGTGACCCAGAAACTGTTTCTTATCATTGAGTTATTTTGTCAGTTACTCAGAGTTGAATAGCTGTCAGCAGTAAATGACTTTTATATGTAGCCTAATTAGGTAAATTTACCTTTGTTCACTACAGGTAATGAGGTTCATGTAATTGAAATTAATAATTAAAGAACGGCCTTGCTGGATCAAGCTCAAAATAAATTTAGTAAAAGGGTAAAAGCGCTGGAGCCAAAAGTGCTGCCAAGGTATATACTGAGGGACAGCACCCACCCCCAAAGTCAAACTTAGGTAGATATTGACCCAGCTTCTCTTAGAAACTCCTAACTTGGTTAGTCTTTTGTGGTGTGTTTCTTAATACCAGCCCCAGGTAGCCTAAGATTCGGTTGTAAAGAACACAGCCTTTTCTAAGTATTTTTGTTGGTCATGGTCTGTTCTTATACCACATCACCAATTTACTTGATCTTTTCTATCTTACCTTCACTTTCTTTAGTTCCATGGCCTCTTTCTTGAATTCTAGCAATCAGAACTCCATGTATATTATGCAAGATTTAAAGGTATTGTAGGGCCTGGCATGGTGGCTCATGCCTGTAATCCCAACACGTTGGGAGGCCGAGGTGGGCAGATCACTTGAGGTCAGGATTTCAAGACCAGTCTGGACAACATGGTGAAACCCTGTCTCTACTAAAAATACAAAATTAGCTGGGTGTGGTGGCACATGCCTGTAATGTCAGCTACTGGGGAGGCTGAGGCAGAAGAATTGGTTGAACGTGAGAGGTGGAGGTTGCAGTGAGCTGAGATCATGCCACTGCACTCCAGCCTGGTCAACAGAGTGAGACTCCATCTCAAAAAAAAAATAATTTTTTTTGCTTTTCCTCCTGTTATACTCTGGTCATGTTTTACAGGAGTCAAATCATCGTGTCTCGTTGTGAAATCTAAGCAGATGTTTGTATTATAGCTCACTTCTCCTTTTGCTTTTTAGTTTAATAAAGCAGTAATTAATCCAAGAATAATCTTATGCCCAAGATCCATTAGTATTACTTGGAAATACTGCAGTGTTGTCCAGTAGAACTTTTTGCATAGTGGAAGTTTTGGGTATCTGTGCTTATATTCGAGACAATTAGCCTAGATAATTTTTAAATTCCTTTTAAACTATAAATTATCTTGTTGAAATTTTGTAAAGATCTCACTATGACAAGCACTTTATATTTGTCTTGTTTTCTCAGGTAAAGTATTCTCCTAAGGAAGCAGACACAGTTACCGAGTGACTTGTCCAAAATTAAAACTATTACATGGCTGGGATTTGAACCGAAGTTTATTGCTTAATCCCAAACCGTAGTTCTTACTTTTTCCTATTTGAGTATATTTCAGAATTAGAGCACAGTATCTATTTATGCCAGTGATTTGTAAGGAGATTTATAAAGTAAACAATGAAAAAAAACTTCAGATTTTGATTTGCCCACCTCATTGCACTAAATCTAATGAGGTCCTCTTTATAAAAAGTTCCAGATTCCTCTTTTTCACTTAACATTTATGCATTGTGTACCACTGTTTTTTATTAGGGTGCTTTATTTTTGCTTTCATGTGACTGTGCTCTGTCAGGTTTTAAGACTCAGCTGAAAGTTGCTACTCTTTCATAAAGCATTCCCCAGATAATTTGCTGTTCACCATTTCTGAATTTATATCTCTGATATTACCTTTGAATCTTATTCACATCCTGTTGTAATCTATTTGGGGGTTTATAGTACTGTTGTATAACTGTACATATATGAGGTGAGTTTTTCCTTTTTAATTATAAAATAAACATATAAAACCACCAAGCAAATGTAGAGCTTAGTGGATTATTATAAAGCAAACAAACAACCTTATAATCACCACCTTATAATCACCTTATATTGCACACCGAAGTCAAGAAATAGAACTTGAGTAACTACCCCAGAATACCTCCGTTGTCAACCCCCTTCCTCCAAAAGTAACCAATTTTTTTTTTTTTTTTTTTTTTTTTTTTTTTTTGAGACTGAGTCTCACTGTTGCTCAGCTGGAGTGCAGTGGTTTGCAATCTCAGTTCACTGCAGCGTCCACCTCTTGGGTTCAATTGATTCTCCTGCCTCAGCTTTGAGTAGCTGGGATTACAGATGTGTGCCATCAAGCCTGGCTGATTTTTGTATGTTTAGTAGAGATACGGTTTCACCACGTTGGTCAGGCTGGTCTTGAACTCCTAACCTCGTGATCTGCCTGCCTTGGCCCCCCAAAGTGCTGAGATTACAGGCGTGAGCCACTTTGCCTAGCTCCAGTATTCTTACTCTAACAGTAATTACTTTCTTTGTAGTTTTAGTACCCAGCTCTCCATTCCTAAACACCATAGTTTATTCTTGCTCATTATTAAAAATTTGCTAGGTGTTTGAAGTCTCTCGGTAGGCATGTTTCCCCTCCGTCCCTTTATGTCACTAACTTTTATCTGTTGAAGGACCCTAGTGTGGGTAACCCCCCATATAGGCATCTAGGAATGAGAGCTAAGCAGAATCCTGGCACAGCTAGGGCTTGAGGAATATCTCACTTTATAGTGTTACTACTCAGCTATTTCCTTTTATATAATCCTTTACATAATCATATATTAGTTTATAGAAATAGAGCTTGAAGAATCCCTTTATGTAATCCTCTATATATAATCATATAATAGTTGATAGTATGAGTGCCTAAAGAATATTTCCCTACATATATACCTATAATTATATCTTAGTTCATAATCGGAGGAATGCCTAGAGTGTACACAGTGCAGAGCATGATTTAAGGGAAAAACAGTTATACCAGGACAAGAGTCCATGGCCCAGACGGCAGCGTTCAGTATCGTAAAGATACCCGCTGTATGGCAGGCTTGGGGCGAGAGCCACTCCTCCTGATAAAGGAGTTGTAGGACCTTACTCCAGTTCTTGTGGAAGGCTGCCCTCAGAATGGCAATCCACCTTGGTGACTGTGAACTTTATCAGCTGTTGATACTGTGCTGCTTGAAAAGCATCTTCTCATAGAACCCATTGGAAGCTGCCAGAAGGTGGCGGTAACCTTGACAGCTCTGTCATTGCTATGTGACTTAAAGCATCCTCCTATAAACCTTCCTAGAAGTAGTTTGCCCACAGATAGAAGTATTGCACACTGCACCCTCTTCACTGCGCATGGCCCACCTTCAAGCCTCGGTGGACCCCTTACTGCACACGGCCCTTGCCTTCAGGGAACGGGCCCCTTGCTGCGCACTGTCCACCTCCTGGCCTAGGTTACCTAATGGGGATGGACCCCATGTTTTATTGCTCACGACCCTGTCACTATCCTTAAAGATGATTTCACTCACTGCCCTGCCCCCTAACTTATACACAATAAATACTCATGCTTCTGGACATTTGGGGCCTTGCCTGACTCCACTTACAGGTGGCATGGCCCCCTGAGCCCAGCTGTGTTTTCTTTGTATTTCTGTGTCCTGTCTCTTTATTTCTCGGATCCTGTGCCTCAGCACAGCATAAGGCTCACCCCACAACCCTGTGGTATAGGACCCCCTACACCCTAGGGTGTGTGACCTGTAGAGTTTGCAACTGTCTGAATTTTGCTGATTGTCGTCTTATGGTGCAGTTTACTGTGTTCCTTTGTTCATGCATTCCTGGAAAATTGATTTGATCCAGGTATTTAATCAGACTCCTGTTAGAGATCCCTTAGGCAAGAGTATAGATGGTGTTAATGTTCTTTCATCAGAAGGCCTAATGTCAGTTTGTCTCTTCTCTTTGTAGTGTTAGTGGCTGCTGATGCTCAATGCCTGGGTCCTTTCATTCATTGGTGACACTCTAATTCTGTCATTTCTTTCTTAAAAATTGGTATGTTTGTGTTGAAATGCTTGATTCATCTCCTATATGGACACCCAGTGGTGTGTATCATACAGTATAATTACCTGATTCTTGCCCTTTTTGAGATATAATTCACATACCATACATTTCACCTATTGAAAGAATATGATTCCATGGGGGTTTTTTTGTGTTTTTTTTTTTTTTTTTTTTTTTTTTTAAGAAAATTCACAGAGGTGTGCATCAATTTTTAGAAGTTCTCACTATACCTAAAAGAAACAGCTAACCTCACAGTCATTTCTCCCTATTCTAGACATTTCATAAATGGAATCATACAGTATGTTGTCCTTTGTGACTGCCTTCTTTCACTTACCATGTTTTCAAGGTTCATCTGTGTTATTGTATTTATCAGTACGTTATTTTTCTTGCAGAAGCACCCATTATTCCTGGGTACTTCATACCCTAAAATGGCTAGACTACATTTTATATATCTGTTCATCAGTTGGACATTTGGATTGTTAGCCACTTTGGCTGATATAAACATTGCTATTAAGAACATTCATACACAAGTTTTTGTGCAGACTTGTGTTTTTGGTATCTCTTGGGCTTATATCTAGGAATAGAATTGCTGGATCATACAGTAACTTCAGATTCCAGTAATCTTGGATAGCTGCCCTTTTTTGTTTTGTTTTGTTTTGTTTTTTTGTTTTTGAGGCTGGGTCTCCCTCTGACAACCAGGCTGGAGTGCAGTGGCACAATCATGGCTCACTGCAGCCTCAACCTCTTGGACTCAAGTGGTTCCCCCACCTCAGCCTCACAAGTAGCTGGGATTACAGACATGTGCCACTACAAAGTTAATTCTTAAAATTTTTTGTAGCGACAGCAGTCTCACTGTGTTGCCTAGGCCATTTTTAAACTCCTGGACTCAAACAGTCTTCGTGCCTCAGCCTCCCAACACTCAGCCTAAAGCAGTTCTTTCCAGTGTGATTTGTTGGTATAGGCACAGCTCTTCTAATTTTTTCTTTTTGTCTTTTTTCTTTTTCCTTTTGTGGAGAATGGGGTCTCACTATATTGCCCAGGCAGATCTCGAACTCTCTCTCTTTGTATGAGCTGAATACTCTTTGGTTACTCATTTTTGTGAGATACTAGCTTTCCTGGACTTTAGAAAGGTGATATAGCTTTAATAATTTCAGAGTAGCTTTAATAATTTCACAGAGCTCCTTTTTCTGTTATTTTTATATAATGTTAAGAAGTGTAGCAGCTTACTTTCCAGGAGTTTCTGGCTCTCTTCCCCTTCACATTTTTAGTTTCTCTTTTCCCTTGTCCCTATCTTGTTGATTGTGCTTTTCCTCCCAATGGTTTCTCCTCAAAATTGGAGTCTTGAAAGAGAACCTTGGGAGATCAATTTCAAAAGTTCATAGATGTTAGTTTCAGTCTTTTAATTCTTGCTCTAGGTCTCTTGCATCCATCTACTTACTGGACTAGTAAAACTCCAGTTTTAGCTGCTGTTCTCACATTGGTCTGCCATGATTTCTAGTGAATGTCTGTTGGCGCTTCGAGGTTCTTGTTTTATCAAGTCCAGCACATGCCCCATTCCTTTGCATCTTGCTACACTATGCTGTGTATTGTTATATAGTAGTCTGTTTTGTCCTCATTCGTATGTATTAGGAATTCCCTAGGAATGGCTTGTCATATGATTAGGTTGTAACTCTCCATGGGGTTTTGGTTTTGCTATCTTGTTGCTCTGTTTTTCTGTGGGGATTTGGGTATCTCCTCTGCAGCCATCATCTCAGAATTCTTCAGGTAAGTCACTAAAAGTTTGTCTTCATTCAGGAGTTGATACACTAATTTCCAATGGAACCACAATAGGCTATCATTTAAATGTACTTACAAGTACTTCTAGGAAGGTGAAGCTGATGTTTTAAAGGAATAAATCACTTGGAAGTTTATGTTAAATAAGGAGGCTTTGGGAGAGTTCATTTATTGATAGGCATTAGAAGGTATTTATGATATTCTTGATTGATTTTCTCAAATTAATTCTGAAAGCTACCCTAGAACTCCCCCATAAAGCTTTAAGTGTTATTTGAAACAAGCTGCTCTTATCTGCCCTATTACAGGGATGCTGACTTCAGTGGCTCTGTATTATTGTACAGATCTTTTGAAGTATTCCTGAAGCCACTTAAAATTCTTATTGCGAAATTAAATGATTGTGAAATAACTCATACCTTTTCTCTGCACACACAGATACATGTATGTTTTAGTCTTGGTAATTTATATGCTTCTCTGGTGGCTCTAGCTCAGTCTTTTTGTTGAGTCATCGCATGGCAGGAGTTCAAGAGAGTGAACCCAGTCATGCAAGACCCAAGGCCCATTCAAACCATAGCAAAATTCTAGACTTGGGTGTAGGTTTTTATATTAACAAATGTGCATTGAGTGTTTGCATTGGCCAAGGCACTCAAATGTCTCGGTGTAAAATAAGACAGATTTTATATAGTTTATAAACTGACTTTCAAGGCCATTTCAGAACAGGAGTTTTGTTTTTAGTATTAATACATAAAATTGGTTAAGGTGATTTTTTAAGTGAAAATCCAATTAGATCACTGTATTTTGTTTATAAACATATATATATATACACACACACACACACATTCTAGGGAGTACATATTTACACATTTTCTAGGGATAAGGGGAAATAATGGAATCCTCCTTACTACTCTACATTTTAGGGTGTTAACCTAATACTTTACCATTAAATAAGCCAAGGTTCTGGTTGTTCAGTGGCATATTGTCTTCTCTTTATATGGCTGTATTTAAGGAAATACATGTAATGTGAAGTTTTTCTCTAAATTATTTGGAGCTGATAGAGAAGAAATGGATGAGAACTGTACAAGTTCACCTATTCCTTGTTAAAAGTTAAAGGTGTGAAGTTAATGACTTGTGCTTAGAGACAATATGCTGTATATTTACATGACAGTAGGACCATATTATTCCACGAATATTAAGTGCATAGTAATATGAAGAGCCATATGCAAAGATGGGATTTATTTTCTTATAAGTAATTAAAACATAAATACTTATAAGTATTTATGCTTTCCCTAAGGGACGTATATTCTAGTGGGAGAGGGAGAAAATAGTGCTTTACTTTAAGTTTGTCTGTCTAATGTGGATATGACTAGGAGCAGTAATCAGTTTGAGCTATTTTGTGACACCTATGAACATTTAATGCATTTATTTATTTATTAAGACAGTGTTTCTCTGTTGCCCAGGCTGGAGTGCAGTGGCCCGATCTCGGCTAATTTTTGTATTTATTTATTTTTTTATTTTTTTAGTGGAGACAGGGTTTTACCCTGTTGGTCAGGCGGGTCTTGAACTCCTGACCTCAAGTGATCCTCCTGCCTCAGCCTCCCAAGGTGCTGGGATTACAGGTGTGCGCCACCACACCCGGCCTATTTAATGCATTTTCATTTGCTTCATTCTCTTCAGAATGCCAACTATGGATTTAAATGCTGTAATGTAATAGCCATGTGTTAGAAGTACTGTAGCTGTTAGATGCTTGAAATGTGAATACTGCACTGAGGAACTGCATTGTACTATTAGATTTTAATGAGTTTACATTTAAAAATTAAAGTTATATAAAATAATTTATGAAATGCAACTCTTGTTTTTGTAGGACTGCATCTCATTTAAATAGTAGCATCTGAATTGAGACACAGTTATCAGTGTAAAATACCAAATTTTGAGAGCTTGATATGGGAAAAATATAAAGTCACTTTTTAATACTTTTTATGTTTATTATATATTATTGAGGTAAAAATACATTAAAATTGTTCCCGTTTTTTTACATGGTTATTAGAAAATTTTAAATTATATTTGTGGCTCACCGTGTGTGTGTGTGTGTGTGTGTGTGTGTGTGTGTGTGTGTGTGTTGTTTTGTTTTTTGAGATGGAGTTTCGCTCTTGTTGCCCAGGCCAGAGTGCAATGGCACAATCTCTCAGCTAACTGCAACCTCTGCCTCCCAGGTTCAAGCAATTGTCCTGCCTCAGCCTCCTGAATAGCTGAGATTACAGGCATGTGCCTCCACGCCTGGCTAATTCTGTATTTTTAGTAGAGACAGGATTTCACCATGTTGGTGAGGCTGGTCTCAAACTCCTGACCTCATGTGATCCACCTGCCTTGGCCTTCCAAAGTGCTGGGATTACAGCCTGAGCCACCTTGCTTAGCTTCACATTATATTTCTATTTGACAGTGATGGTGTGAGCTACAGTCATTTGCATCCACTAACAAATAAAATTGCTGTTGTCGTTCACACTGTAGTAATTCTTTCCAAAGGCAAATGTGCACTTTCAAACTAATCTCACACTGAGGCTTCATTTAGAAGTTGAAAAAAATGAGAAAGATAATTCTTTTGTGGTCAAAAACCTAAAGAAAGTGAAACTATATAGTTGATGCTTGAAAAGAAATAGCTGAGAGGGGAGGAAGAGAAAATTCTAAGGGTTTGGAATCTTTAAGTGATGTAAGGATTCAGAGAGGAAACCAGGTATTTCCACACACACCCACCAGGTAGGTATTATAGTTATTTTGTGTCATTATAGCTCAGCGATTGTTGTTTTGAATGCCTAGTATGAGTAACTATTT